GTAATATTTGGGGTCACAAGTTTTTGCCATGGATACTTTGTGGGTCAGAAGATAAAAGGTTTGGGAACCACTGCTGTAGAGTACTTAAAGTGGAGAAATGGGGTTTGGCTTTAAGAGATGAATGAACCAATTGGCGGGCCACATTTTGGTCACTTGTGGGCCAGATGTGGCCTGCGGGCCACCAGTTGAATAGGACTGGTTTATTCCCTCGATAAAACATTGATTTAATTTGACCTGCAGTGTGGCTACTGCACACATGTGATGACTGAATATTATATTTTTGATGAGTGAACACTATATTTTATTTATTTTTAATATATTTTGTTGATTTTTCTGATAAAGTAACTGTTTAAATATAAAAAGGTTCAGATAATCCTCTTGATGATGAGACAGTTTCTGAAATAATCCAGGATTTATTTAAAAAGCAGAGCAGAGGTGAGTTAATGTTTCAGCTTCTGAACAACAACATATCTGTTTCACTCATTTTAATTTGTAACAGTTGTGGTTTAAATTAGATGTTGTGTGTATCATGTGGGACAGATGAGCCTGAATACCAGCAGACCTGTTGTTTTTCTTTAGAAGCCTCAAAAACAACAAACAAACAAACAAACAAACAACATCCAGCTGCCTCAAAGTGAAAAATAAAACCCAAACTTCTCCCCCTCCTTTGTTCCCCAGACGTCACGTTTCAGTGTTCAGGTTTTGTTCGGGGCTCACTCTTAGAAAAACGTGTCAAATAATAGTTCAGGCTCTGTCAGAAAATAACAGCTTTTGTGAATTTTCAGTCCGAGTCGCTCGCTAAGCTGCAGCCGGCGTCGCCATGACAACCCGAGCTCATCAGCAGGACCACCTGAATGCAGGCGTGTTTTTTTTTTTTGTTTTGTTTTGTTTTGTTCTTGTTTACTGGTTCTTGTTTACTGGTTCTTGTTTAAAGGGTACACAGGTCTCTGCCTCCGTCTTTTAGCCCAATTAAAAGATTAAATGTGCAACGTTTACAGCTGGTCCGGTTGCTCCTGATAAACCTGATAAAGGTCCAGCCGGTCCAGGATGACCCGGGTATGGGTGTATGTTAGGGCTGGGTGATATAAACAAAAAGAAATATCCCTATAATTTTTTTTATTTGCTGATATCGATAATCTGATGATATCTTTCTTTAAAGAGATCTATGATTAGTTGTAACATTAGACTTTATTTAATAAACATTTATTTTAACTGTAAAATAAAGACTGTAAAAATACTGTAGGCTGTTTAGTTTTGTAAATTTTAAAAAATATATTTTAACATGGACGGAGCCATTTTATTTACACACAAAGCATTCTGGGTAAATGATGACGTGGATAGGTCCTCGGTGCGAGGCTGCTAGCGAGCTATATCCACCCTGAAGGTTAATCTTGGACAATATCTGATGATCGACTCTTTTAAATGAAACCAGAGAGCGTTGACAGAGAGGAGAAGGTAGAAATGACTCAGCCTGGAACTGAAAATATGGATGGAGGACAACAGAGCTGCTTCATGGAAGAACAACCTCAGATTAGCCTGTTAGCTGTTAGCGTTAGTGCCCACGCTATACTGTCTTATATGTATTAGCTCAGCGCTAGCGCGACAAACAAGCTAAACTGAGGTCCTCCATCCATATTTTCAGTTCCAGGCTGAGTCATTTCTACCTTCTCCTCTCTGTCAACGCTCTGGTTTCATTTAAACGAGTCGATCATCAGATATTGTCCAAGATTAACCTTCAGGGTGGATATAGCTCGCTAGCAGCCTCGCACCGAGGACCTATCCACGTCATCATTTACCCAGAATGCTTTGTGTGTAAATAAAATGGCTCTGTCCATGTAATATATTTTTAAACTTTTAGTTTAATAATTATAAAAAATGAACATACTACAGTATTTTTATAATTTTTATTTTATAGTTAAAGTATACAGTATGTTTTTCATATAAAGTCTGATGTTACAACTAATCGGGGATCCCTTTAACAATTTTTTTAATTTGTAGAAGAAGAACCTTAGAAACCTTCAGAGAATGGAAACCTATTTTACATGAAAAGTAGAAGCAAAAATGAAAGCAACTCGTCAAAAAAAGCCAAAGTTTGTCACCAATATGAAGAGCAGCTTCTGGTTCTACCATGTAAAGGTTTAAAAAGGCTATCGGCTGATTGGCTAAGTTTCTACCGAACCCAGTCACATGACTGAATCCTGCCCGCTGACTGGTTTCTGTGGCAAATATTCCACGAATGGAGACTTATGCCTCTGTCTTCACCAGAGTATTTGTTGTCTTTTCGAGACAGTATGTTCACTCGATTGTGTAAAACTGCATATCTTCAAAACAACATGGACAATAATATAGTCTGCGTTATATAGCCCACCTCTGGTGTGTGTTTGTGTTGTTTACAGTCAGATCACCATGTTTTCTTCCCCCAGGCTGCAGCTCAGACTGCCAGCGCTGCACCACCGACCTTCAGACGGGGGTCGGCAGCGTCTGCCTGTGGTGCGGCGCTCCCAGGACCTGGCTGCTGGGCGATCACTGCGTCCCTCACTGCCCCCCCTCTCGTTACGGTTGGCACGGAGCCTGCATCGGTAAGGACCCACATCCCCCCCGCCTTATTACTGCGTGTGGAGAGGTCAGAGGTCAGGCTGGAGCTGTCCGAATGTAAAACCTGAGCTTTTATGTTTTATTCATCAGGTGGAGAAACTCTCTGACCTGCTGGAACTTCCTTCTTTTCCCAAGTTTTTATATTTATATTTTTAATGTAATAAAAACATAAGAAACAGAGACACTGAGTATAAAACTAAACCTCCTGAACCCCGAAGACCAAAGGATTGAAGAAGAGGAGTAATTTCAGTTAGAGCTCAGAATAGCTGGTAGGGATGACCATCGGCTACTACCACACCTAACTGCAGCTTAATGTAGCTAAAAATGGATGAACTGTAGCTGAAGACAGATTCTGTGGTGGCCATTTTGAATTTATGGTCCAGGGTTAGCTACTTTGATGCAGGTGAGGTTTCTCTGGTCCACGTGTGGTTTCTATGGTCCAGATCTTTGGTTCAGTGTGGTTTCTATAGCCCAGGTCTTTGGATCAGGTCTAGTTTCTGTGGTTCAGGTGTGTTTTCTATAGTTTGTGTAGCTCTGGCAGCCATCTTGAATTGGGTTAACTCTAAAAGTGAATTGTTTGTTGACTTTATTATATTTAAAAAAAATCTTCATGACCTGGTTCACCTGGTTAAAGTGGTTCACCATTTTAAAGTGGTTCACCTGGTTGAAGTGGTTCACCTGGTTAAAGTGGTTTACCTGGTTCACGTGGTTAAAGTGGTTCACCTGGTTAAAGTGGTTTACCTGGTTCACGTGGTTAAAGTGGTTCACCTGGTTAAAGTGGTTCACCTGGTTAAAGTGGTTCACTTGGTTAAAGTGGTTCACCTGGTTCACCTGGTTAAAGTGGTTCACCTGGTTAAAGTGTTTTACCTGGTTAAAGTGGTTCACCTGGTTAAAGTGGTTTACCTGGTTCACCTGGGTTCACCTGGTTAAAGTGGTTTACCTGATTCACCTGGTTGACCTGATTACCTGGTTAAATTGGTTGACCTGGTTGATCTGGTTACCTAGTTAAACTGGTTGACCTGGTTCATCTGGTTAAACTGATTCACCTGGATGACCTGGTTCATCCGGTTAAACTGGTTCACCTGGTTAAACTGGTTCACCTGATTCACCTGGTTAAACTGGTTCACCTGTTTAAAGTGGTTCACCTGATTCACCTCTTAAAGTGGTTCACCTGGTTCACCTGGTTGACCTGATTCAACTGTTTCACAGGGTTAAACTGGTTCATCTGGTTAAACTGGTTCACCTGATTCACCTGGATGACCTGGTTCATCTGGTTAAACTGGTTCACCTGGTTAAACTGGTTCACCTGGTTAAACGGGTTCACCTCGTTCATCTGGTTGACCTGATTCAACTGTTTCACAAGGTTAAACTGGTTCATCTGGTTAAACTGGTTCATCTGGTTAAACTGGTTCACCTGGTTAAACTGGTTCACCTGGTTAAACGGGTTCACCTCGTTCATCTGGTTGACCTGATTCAACTGTTTCACAAGGTTAAACTGGTTCATCTGGTTAAACTGGTTGATCTGGTTAAACTGGTTCACCTGGTTAAACTGGTTCACCTGGTTAAACGGGTTCACCTCGTTCATCTGGTTGACCTGATTCAACTGTTTCACAAGGTTAAACTGGTTCATCTGGTTAAACTGGTTGATCTGGTTAAACTGGTTCACCTGGTTAAACTGGTTCACCTGGTTAAACGGGTTCACCTCGTT